TTTACCTTAATACTTCTGTTGTAGTTGCGGATGCTTGCAATAGGGGTTAATCATAAGTGGGATGATTGTCCGAGGAAGGACAGTACCCAAGCACCGGTCCACCCACATATCAAATTATCAAAGTACCGAACGTGAATCATATAAACATGATGAAAACTAGCTTCATGATAATTCCCATGTGTCCTCGGGAGCGCTTTCCTTTATATAAGAGTTTGTCCAGTCTTGTCATTTGCTACAAAAAGGATTGGGCCATTTTGCTGCACCTTATTTACTTTTACTATTTGTTACCTGTTACCAATTACCTTATCACAAAACTATCTGTTACTGATAATTTCAGTGCTTACAGAAAATACCTTGCTGAAAACCGCTTATCATTTCCTTCTGCTCCTCGTTGGGTTCGACACTCTTATTTATCGAAATGAAATATGTATCTGGCAACCATGTGGCGGATTGCAAAACGATCTACCTCATCCAGCGCTGTCAGATCTGGCAACCGCTCGATCTGCATCTGCTCCGTCCGCAACTCCTATGCCCGAGCGTCTAGTCAGGGCGCCGCGAGCACGCATTGACCGGCCATCAGCAGCTTCGATCGAACCACCTGTTCCCTTGCACCCCTCGAGCACCAGTGCCTCCTCAAGTCGCCGCCATAGCCTGCTGCTCCGGCGAGCAGTTCCTTCCACGGCCAACACTCGCCGGTGCAGGAGCTCCATCACCATCTCCATGGGATTCCTGCCTCCCCTGAAGCCCTTCGACGACCACGTCCTCCACACATCTCGGCCATAGCAGCCGCTGCTGTCCGCTGTTCTGCTGGCCACGGCCATAGGCTCCGGCCAGCATCGATCTCCTTCATCTTTGAACAATAAGTTGCGTGCTCAACTAAAATGGATTCACAATGAAGAGATCTACGAATTTCATGTTGAAGTCCACGCGATTCATAGCCTAAATCAACAAGTATGATGGATAATTGGGAGTTCTTAGTCTCTGTGTTTTCAGTTTTCAGTTTTCAGATACAGGTTTCATTGATTAGAGGTGGAAGACAACTCTCGGTGGGCTTCAGAGAGAGAAAAGAGTTGGGCTGGGCCCAATGCTGGGTAGAGACCTAGTTAGGAAAAGTTAATGTTGGCTAAAGAAAACATGTTTTGTGGGTCTTTTAGCTTCAATGGTGCATCATTTGTACTACATTTTAAGAACTAATATCATGCTAACTTTTGACCCAAGAAAGATTGATGTAGAAAAATACCCTCGATAACTTCTATGTAAATATCATGATAATTTATATACAATTGATCTGATAATTTACGTACAAACACCACAATAAACTTGACATAGAAAATTATTACTGAAAACAAACCCCGGTAACTGTTTGCAAATAGCACCGTAATAATACGCACTGTAGACATGATAACTTGCGCAAAAACACCGCGGTAATTTTGAACCAGGGAAAAAAGTTATTAGAAACATACCCCGGAGACCTGGTAATTTTACCCACAAACATGGTAGTAATTTTGACCCGAGAAAAAAAGTGGTTGAAAAACATAACCACGTTAACTTATATGTAAATAATATGATAATTTACGCTCCGTGGACTTGATAACATACATACAAACACCACAATAACTTTGACCCCAAGGGGTGTATTACAAATGTGCCGCCGGTAATCTCTATGTAAATAACGTGGTAATATAAGCACCGCTTAACTGATAACTTACATACAAAACATGATGATAACTTCCTGACCCGGAAAACTTTTTGTTGACAAACATATGCTCGCTAATTTATGTGTAAATAGTACGGTAATATATGTGTCACATACCCGATAATTTACGTACAGAACACCGCGGTTCCATTGACCAAACATGAACAAGTTGTTTAATAACACACCCTTGGTAACTTATGTGAAAATAGCATGGTAATATATGAATAAGCACCGCGGTAACATTTTTTTAGAAGGGCAAAAGTTGTTGAAAAACATACACTCGATAACTTGTGTGTAAGTGCCATGATAATATACGAACTGCGGATCTGATAACTTGGGTATAAACACCACGGTAACATTAACCAAAAGGGGGAAAGGTGGTTGAAAAACATACCCTTAGTAAATTGTGTGTAAATAACATGTTAATACACAAACCGAAGAACTGATAACTTATGTACAATGACCGTGGGTAATTTTTTTCAGGGAAACACCGCGTTAATTTTCGACCTATGAGAAAATAATTATTGGAAAGTTTACCCTAGTAACTTATGTGAAAATTGCATGATAATAGACGAAGTGAAACTTGATAACTGTATAAACATCGTGGTAATTTGAAACATGGGATGTAGTATGTCAAAATTTCATGTTTTTTGTCCTCTTTTTGTATGCTATCAGACTTCCTCTCAAAACCATAACCTACACTCAAAACGCCATGGTAACTTCCTCCTACGATTGAGCGAGTTCAAACGCTCGTTCGATCGAGCGGAACGAGGCCCTCATGTGCCAGTTATCTAACAAGTGGACCGGGTTGGTAATTTTGCTAACTGGCACACATGTGCCAGTTATCGCTGTCCTTATCGAAAAGGCTAGGATATATCTCCTACACTTGTGGGTCATCATGGGCGTTCACTAGTTAGACCCAGAAATGGGCAATGTTTTCTCCTTTTTTGTTATAAAACCTTAACCAATGAACAACCATACATTTGCAACTGTAACCCTGATTGGGATGATTCCAGCGTATGCATTCTTCTTTGGAGAGCATTGTCCAGTGGTACCATTTCATACTTCTTGCAATCTTGAACTTGACACCCGTGTCTGTTTTATCTGTTTAGCCATTTTGGAGAACTGCATTTGTCGGAATCACTGATCTGCTCTTTTGTCTGCACGTGGATGAATCTCGTGCGCGCACACTTCCTACTGACGTTGAAGCTCAAACCGGAATGGTCGGTGTCATTCATGGAGCGACTAGTGCTCATGGACCAACACCGCAACCTGGACGTCGTGCACGACAAGGCCGTCATGTCAGTGTTGTTCCTACATCAGATGTTGTAGAAGAGTTACTTGTACATCACGTCTGCCGTGCCAGACGAGGAAGCCGTCGTGTTGTGCAGTAGTAGGCCAGAGAAGACGGCACATCGCAGCCACATTCGAGCCAACGCGTGGTCTGCAACTCGAATCTCCTTCGCTCTTCAAACTTAAGTTCATATTTATTTATTTTGTTCACTGACATGTGGGTCCCACATGGATGGAGACAGAGTGAGCCCCGTTGGCATGTTGGGTTATATATATATATACCTAAGATAGTCATTCCGACTAACTTATTTATCTCAACATGCAATCATATAACCTCACTATATAATTAGGAATGTGATAAGACCCACCTCAACATGTAATTATACGTGGAAAAAAACTCACCGCAACATTCAACCATGCATTAGAATTTTTTGCATTGGCTTCTACTTATATTCAATAAATATGGATACAACTATACATAATCAAATAGAACAAGTCATACGTACTCCCTTCGTAGAGAAACATAAGAGTGATGTAAACGCTCTTATATTTCTTTACAGAAGAAGTATTATTTATTTTTGTTCTCATCTTATCAAACCAAATCTATAACTAATAGTAATAAAGTAGTTGTTGCTTCTTGTGGTACATCATGAAAATTGCCCTCAAAGTTCCAAAATATTACCCACCAATGCCACCTAAAATTGATAAAAAATGTTTCACACAGGTGAATTCCCCACCTCGGCCGACCCATGCAGTAGAGACCTCCTATACTGCATGCTGGGAGAAGACGCAACGTGCATGTTTGGGCCGGCACATGTCCAGGCGGCCCATTTTTTAATTTTGTTATTTTTTTTTCTTTTTCGTTTCATCTTTTTGTACTTTAAATAATTTGGGACTTCAAAAAATTCTGAAAATAAAAAAATAAGAATTTTGAAGTAAACTGTTTAGTAAATCATAAAATGTTTGTGGAATAAAAAATGTCTGTGATTTTATAAAAAAAGTGGTTGTTTATTAGAAAAATGTTCGAAATTTTGAAAACAAATGTTCGGGAAATCAAAAAATGTTCATGTATTATTATTTTTAATAAAATCAAACAAAATTTCACCAATTCAAAAAAAATTATGAATGGAAAAATATCCTAAAAATTCAAAAACTGTTTTTGACGTAAGAAATGCTTTTTTCATTCATAAAATATTCGCTAATTCAAAAATGATCATGCATTTCTAAAAATGTTCGTTAAATCAGAAATATGTTCGTGAATTTCAAAATTTGTTCCACCAATTTCCAAAACAATGTTCATCCATTCTAGAAATGTTCGCCGATTCAAGAAAATTGTGAAAAAAATATTCATAATTTTAAAAATGTTTGCAAATAGTATAAAATATTCATGAATTCAAAAAATGTTCTAAAATTTGTAAAAGTGTTCATGAATTTGAAAAATCTTCACGATTTCAAATATGTGCATGAGTTTAAAAAATGTCCATGTTTTCACGAAATTGAGAGTGATAGTTTATCTCGGTGATGCAGCAAAATGTGATCATGGCCATTGAAGATTATGATTTTTTTCACATTGCAACGCATGGTCCTTTTGCTAGTTTTCATCAACCAATCCACGTAGTGTCTTATAGAGACAAACTCCACTACAAAGACACTAATCTCTTTTTTCCCAGCCATTATTAATTTTATTTTCTCGTATAGGGTGTATATACACCTAGAACCAAAAGGTATTTCGCGGGCAATGATGCATTAGTTTTACTCGCATTTACACTAGTGTTTGCGTTTATTCTGTATGAGGCTCTTCGTCTATGGATCCTCTACCACTCTTCAGATCCCACGTAGTAACCATTAAACCGTGCCCACACCGACCGGCCATGGTGGATATTTAAGGGCTGCATTCCATTGTACCTGTAAGAAAATTTCAAAGAATCTCCACGAGATGAATCCAAAATCCCCAAGCCGGGGAGGTGAAACTTTTCATAGAGCTTATGTCAACAAAGGGTCCATCAACTTCATGGTGACCGACGATCTGCCCATCGTCGATTTCTCCTTGGCCAAGAGCCTCCAGGCCATACGCGCAGTGAAGATCCCGAAGAGGGAGCTTGTGGAGAAAGAGCTAGTTCTAGACAAAACCAAGGTGCGAATTATCAAGTCAAGAGAATTAGCTGGTTCTTCCTTATTGTTCAGTTTTGTACTACAATGTTCTGAACGACTGACTGTTTGCTGGCATCATCAAGTCCTGACAACCTCGACTGAAGCCACCACAGCGTGTGGCCTCCGGCTGAGGAGGAGCGCGACCCCGAAAGCCCCGCGTGCCCTTTTCTTAATTTGTTTTTTCCTTTCTGTTTTTCTTTTTTCTCTCTAAGATAATTTAGGATTTCAAAAAAATCAAATTTCTAATTAAATTATGATTAAAAAGCAATAAATCATTCATGTCCGTGAATTAAAAAATATGCATGGTTATGAAAAAATGTTCAAGAAATCATAAAATTTTCATGGATAAAAAAATGTTTGTGTTTTTGAAAAAGAAATCGCATATTCAAAAAAATGTTCCTGATTTCGAAAACAATGTTCGAGAATTAAATAAATTCATGATTTGGAAAAAGTTCATATATTCAGAAAAACATGAATTTGAATAAAATTTTGCGAATCCAAAAAATGTTCATGATTTTTTAAATCTTCACAAAAATCGAGAAAATGTTTGTGAATTTCAAAATTTGTTCCAAAGTTTTTTGAAAACTTCATCGGTTCAAAAAATGTTTGTTCATTCGAAAAATGTTCATGCTTATGCGTGCCAGACACAAGGTATTATAGCAACTTCATTAGTATCTCAATAGTAATCGTCCCAATGAACAATAGAGGAGAGTATTTATGAGTAGCGTTTCTGTCACACACAAGTGGTTACAGATTTTGTATGAAGTAACTGTTTGAGGATCTGCAGAAATTATTAGTGTTCTTTGAGACAAATAAACCAGAGTGGTAACTCTAGCCCATGATGGGCCTGTAGATGTTTGAACTACTTGGTGAGTTCACTAAAGGAAGGATCGATATCAAGCGGTTAGAGCATCTCCAGCCGTGCCTCCAACAGCCCCCCCCCCCCAGG